ATTATACTGGGCAAGTAAAAATTGTTTCTGGGCAAATGAAATGTGAAAGTCATTTGCCCTTTGGGCAAGTGGTAAAACGTCAATCCCTGTGGTTGAAAGATGGTTCTCAAGTCAAATGTTTTGGTATAGATAAAGCTCCAACCTCATCTATTAAAAAAAAAACTGTGGACTATAGTAAATAGAAACACTCATCCCATATTTGACCTTCCATGTCCTACTCTTCTATTGGACATTTTACTCGTTGGCTGAACTGAGTGCCGCAGCTGGAGAGAAATCTGTCATTTTGCCAAAGAGAAGAGCAGCTTCCTGCCTGGAGCCTCTTCAGATATGATCACTTCACTCAATGTGAAGAGTTGAACAGAAAGTGTCTTAATCTCTGTGTGCCTGTTGGCTCTGCGCAGCGGTGTTGGCTGCCACGTTGCAACAGCACTTCAAGGCACTTTGACTTAATTTCCTGAAACGCTAGCCGCAGCCTGCTGGGCCAAGAAATGAGCGAGGAGGAATCTGAATGATTGTGTGGATGGAAAACATCTCAATCAAACATCAGTCAAGTTTTTATTATCTTCTCTTCTTCAACAAACGATTAGACAATATTGTTCAGCTGCAACATAAGTATCGTTTGTTGCCACATTTATTTTATAAACAAATTAGAGGTGACAGCCAAAAATAACATACAAAGGTCTGTTGGACATCAATGTTTTCATCTGAAGCCACAAATATCTTTTACTTTTGGCAATATACAGAAACTTTTGAAGTATTTACTAATCAGCTCATGGGCTTCAATCATGAATTTTGTTCCCATGCCTGGGATTTTTTTTTTTTTTTTTATCCTCATGCTTTAAAGTAATAAATCTCCAAGAAACTTCACTGGAAAGCTTTAAGTGGTTCTTGGCAGTAAATGGGTGTGATTTGGGTTTTTATCCTCTCCAGGAATTTGTGCACCAGTCTCGGAGGCTGCTGTCAGATCACGAGCTGAGAGAGAGAGTCGTAAGGAATGGAAAACTCTACGTGGAGGAACATCACAGTGTGAAACAGGAGAGGGAGACGTATAAGAAACTGGTGGACACGCTGCACAAGGCCTAGTTTACAGCTTTACTAGATACTTTCTCAGGAACTTAAGCCGCAATATATATATATTTGTACATTATCTGTACTCATTTAATATTTTAATTCTTCTATTTATTTAAATAAAGATATATTTTTAACCAAAGAGCAGTGAACCAAAGACATTAATGTTTTTAAAGATGTCACGTAATATATTTGATGCCTGTGAAAAAACTGCCAGTAAACTGTAATGTATATAAATATAGATGTATTGTAAGTAGACTCTGTAAAACAAGTTTACATAAAGAAAACTATAAACATATGGTAAATAAAAGTAAAGAAAACTTTCCTGATTTTTTTTTTCCTTTGTTCAGTGATGTGAAAATGATTGATAATTGAATAGTTTCTAATTCCAGTGAGACAAAAAGTTATGCTTACCAACTCATTCATTTTTAATGAAGTGCAGCAAATAGGTTTTCCGGATTCAGAAACACAGCAAAATCTCAATTAGTTTAAAGGGCAGAGGGGAAAATGAGATCCTTCCAGTTTACTGTACAAAGGTTGGATTTAGCAGCTGCCTGAGGCTGGGATGAGTAGAAGAAGGAAACACAACCAGATATGACATACAGTGGCTCCCAAAAGAGGACATACACCTGCTGAAATGCAATGTTAAAGAAGAATTTTGAACTTGAATAAATTCAAAATATTTAGAGGACAAATAAAGAAAAAAAGGCTATTTGCAGGTCAGTGGACAAAAACAAAAAAAATTCTACATCATATATAAGGTATTTATGACAGACTGTGGTTATAAGTTATTGTATGGGACAACAGATACATTGTAGAAAATATTTCTCCCAAGTTCATGAGCAGAAAGACCGATATTTTAAAGGGAAGTTGAGGAGAAAGACATTAGTTGTACATTCTGATGAATTATTTTACTACATGTTATCTCCTGTATTCTCCATGCATTATAGTGATGCACAACATTATTTATTTGAAAAGAAAACCTTCAGATCCAGCTCAGACTTATGACATAAAGGCAGAAAAATGTTTTCTGCTCTAATGGAACCCAATGTAAACTTTTGGCATATAATTTATATTTTAATCTTTTTAGTATAGCTGTTCTGCTGCCATCAACACCCTTGTTTATAGATGTTCGAGATTGGCCTGTTTTCCAGTGTAGTCCTGTTTCTCTGACTGTGACTAACTGGATGTGCTCTCTTTATCCTCTGACATGGGAGCTGGCTCGGAGCTTGTCTGCCTGGCTGTGTTTCCTGGACGGGGCCGGCTTTTACAGTTGATGTCTGTATCTCTGCTTCTGTCTCCTTGAACCCCAGTCGGCCTCAGCAGATGGCTGCTCACACTGAGCCTGGTTCTGCTGGAGGTTTCTTCCTGTTAAAAGGGAGATTTTCCTCTCCACTGTCGCTACAAGCATGCTTAGTGTGAGGGATTGCCTTTGAGTCAATGCAACAACTGGTTTTCCTTAGATAGAAAACTTTGAATCAATTTGACTGGATGATCTGGTGAACTGTAAAGTGCTTTCAGATTACTTGTTGTGAATTGGCACTATTTAAATAAACTAAATTGAATTTATTCTGTCAATTTAGATGAATTTATAGGGTAGTTTTTTGAAATGCCAGTTAGTTTTGACCCAAAACATTCAGATTAATGCCAAATCTAAAGTTTAAGACTGTTTCTATATTTCAGCATCAATGTGAGGGCAAGCATAAGTAGAAATCAACAAATGATGCCTTTATCTAAGGAAAATGTAAGTTTAATATTAGCCTGAAAAGATTTCAAAACCAGATCTGCAGAAGCCACCTGAGGAGGTCTGAGCTGATAAGATTTGAAAGGCCTCTTCAAGATGCAGGGAGCAAATACTGCAAGTCAAAATGTGGGACGCTGACAGACTTCTAACAAAAAATAAAGAATGGTCATTGCCAGAAATCCACTAAATGGATTTAAGAAAGAAATAATATACACGTGGGTAATCAGGGTGCACCTTTTGATATTTTACCTTCATAATAAACTGTTAGAACATGTGTGAAAGGTTTTCAGAATGGTTGATCATGGTGTTTATTTTTAACATCACATCAACCCGGCATTTTAAGTTTACTCCTTTGAGAACCACTGTCCCTAAGAAATGCTCTGAAAGACCATAGTGTTGATTAAAAATGAGGTTAGATAACATTTCAAATGCTTCTATTTTAGGTTTTCATTTAAAGTCATTTATGTTTCTCTACCATATTGAATGAAAGCCTTTTTTTAATTGATAAAAATGTTTGGCTAAGCTCCATATTATGGGTGTTACTTTACATGTTTGCATTTTGTTTTTTTTACATTTTTCCCTTTTTTATGCAATGTTTCAGTGTCTGTAGAGTTTTCCACAGATATCCTCATGCAGCATGAACATGTGGTTTTAAATACTGGGTATACAATAAAGCATCTGCTTAGCCATCTGTGGCATTATTACACAATATTCATTGTCTTATTTTAAGTATATACACTATACATTACATATACATGTAAAAGGCCTTAATGGGAAATGAAATGTCAAATAGGCCTTATACAAAATCCCATTTTCCTGACAAAGGCATTGAGGTGATCGAAGCCACGGCTGCTGTGCATGTGAAGTCTCATCATGTTCTGTGTTATAACTGGTCCCCAGGCTTTATGATGGGCACTTGAGGTTCCGCGCTAGTACACTCTTCCTTTCCAACCCAGTGAATGCCATGGCCATTTTCCTTGGGTGAGAGATGTGGCGAATGTTGGCGTTCCAGTGTGGAGAACGTGGTGAACTGAACTCTCTTTCTCTTGCTGGTGGGCGAGTGGAGGGACTCACTTTGTATGGGTTTGGTCCTGTGGGAGCTGTCACAACGGAGAGGAGATTCTGCTGCAGAGGTTAGGCAACTTGGCCTTCTAGAAAGAGACCCAGTCTTGTCAGGCCCAATGTCAATCACAGTGGTTGCTGTATGGGAGTCTGGCTGGACTGGACTGCATGGCACTGTCATCACAAGCTCAGCGTCTGTGCCTAGCCAGACCCAGTCATGCCTGTGCCCTGTTGGCTCCTGGCCATGAGAGAGAGGCTTCTTATGCCTGAATTTAACAACATATGATACACAATTCACTAGAAAAACTAAAATGGCAAGACAAAAAACACCAAGCAATGCATACATGCCAATCTCCAAGTCTGTGAGAGGCCGGTTGGCCAAAGCTTCTTCACCACTTTCTACTTCTGGCATTTCGGGTCCTGGGCTCTCTACCTTTGTGGGGAAATTGTTGTAGTTCACCAGATTCCCAGGAGCTTTGACAGTGCTGGTAAGGCTAACACTGCTCATATCCTCCACTATCATATTTTCTGAGCTATACCCTTTGCTGCTGTCTCCAGGACTGCTCATTAGGCTGACATTTACTACGTTAGATGGGCTGCCAACATTACCGGGTCTTCTCGTCCTGCCCACTCCTCCTAGACTGCCACTGGTTATAATGGTTTTTTCTGTAGATTTGATGGTGGTTGGGACTTTCTGAATGGCACTCTCCTCTTTGTTGGAGTTGGGGATACTTGAAGTAAGAAACTGAGATGGTTTCCTTTGCTTCTTTTCACTGTCTAATTCTTCCCCATCATTTCCATAGTCATTGTTGCTGTCCTTGCTTCCAACAGAGCTTCGGTCAGTGCTGCGGGTACTGCCACCAGGCCGCCGAGTGTTGGCCTGAAACTTGACCTTAAGGCTGCCATTGCCCACAGCCACTGTACTTTTGCGTTTCGACTTTTGGCAGGACTCACAGATGGACATTTCTACTCTAACTAAGACTCCTTCGCCCTCTCCCTCCGCCACTACTACAGGAGGTTTTCCCTGCACTGACACCACTCCCTGATCCAGGGATGTAACTGTCAGTCGGAAGTTTGATGGATCATAGATGTCAAGAGGTGTCTGATTGCCATCGCTGAATTGGACCCAGGAACTGACCAAAGCTTCCTAAAAAAAAAAAAAAAAAAAAGTAAAAGATAGAACTTGTGATAACCTAAAAGCTTTTTTTTTTCCTGAGGAGCATTAAAATAAACTATAGAATAGTACCTGCTTGGGACTTTGTAGAACCTCTTGTGTGGCTGTTGTAGCCAAGATCGCCCTGCTACTTCCTGAACTACGTTGTAACGTCATGGAGAGTCCAGAAACCACTTGGACACCTAACTCTGTGATGCTCACTTTCTCATCCACAACTTTGACTGTTGTCTTTGCCAGGATAACATCAGACAGTGGAGAAAAAACCTATCACAACATAAGACAAAATAGAAAGAAAAGTTAGATTGCATCTTTATTTAAAAAAGGATTTACGAATTAAACATAAACCAGTTCCTACGACATGCTGCTTGGAAAATTTGTCACTGGCCCATAAAAAAACAGCTGATACCTGAATGTTTGTGGTCCCAAAGTCTTTTCCTGCTAGTACCCTTCCTTCCTGAAGTCTCACAATTCGAGGGTCCTCGACCTTCATGAAGTATCGAACCAACCTTGTAATATCCACCTGCCAGTCAGACCCAAGGAAATACGCTGTAGGGTCCCGTGGGTCTTCCTGCTCTGCGACAAAATGGGTCAGAACCCGCACAAGTGCGTGCTGAAGCTGGAGCATGCAGCCTTTGCCCTTCCTTTCAGCCTCGTCACTGTTCCAACCAGATCTGAGGTAGAGACATGCAAACTCATGTTAGGATCCTGCCTATTACTTCCTGAAACTCCGGCTTCAATGATCTAACCCTGCTTCTTTGCTTGATTGGATTAAACTTTTATTGCATGGCTCTTGATGTTGGAATCCTGTGTCTCAAATATTTTTGATGTTTCAATCCCAAAAATATTTTTAAATAATATGTAGAAACCAAACAAGCTTGTTTGGCTTAATGTACAGTAATACACAAATTTCTCACCTTTTCGAGGTCAAAATAGGAACTCTCCAGCTTTTGATTTGGCTCAGTTCTGAGTCTGACAACTCAATCTGCAGAGGGAGTCGAGGCATCCACACATTCAGTTCGAGCTGAGCACTCAGGTAGCTGTAGGTGAAGTTTACTGTCATCTTCACCTTCCCTTTGGTCTCCTTGCCATTCACATAAACATAGTCACACCTGTCAGACACCTGGATGGAAAATGAGAAAACGTAGGAAACAATTTATCAGTGCACGCATATCAATTTGATCACCCGTCTACCACCATGACTCTGTGCTAGTAGTAGTATGTTAACCACCTCTATCAAATCTGGAGTAAATTTGTTGTCCATGAAGGACTTGTTTGTCATCTATCCAATGACAAAAAATAATTAAATATTCCCATAAAAGTCACTGTTTTAACAAACAGGCCGTTCCCACAACAACAAATGGGCTTGCAGCAGTTTTGCTCTGCATGCTACCACAGTAATGTCAGCTGGCTGTAATAAACTACTGCGATGATCACCAGTCTGCAGCTTTAGGAGGAGGCAGCATTGCAATTTTATGTTAATTCAAATATCTTGCAGTGTAGAGCTAATATCAGTCCTCTACCCGCTTAGTGCATCCATTGCATCTTAATCTCAAAGCCACCTTTGCAGCTTTTCTCAGTTGCTCACGGATCTTATGGACATTTTGAAACAGTTGTCAGAAGTCTTATTTCATCTTCTTTGCAGGCTCTTCTCTTCTTTCAATGAAACAGATGATTACTTGTCTTACTGATGCCAATGGTGATAAATGGGATGCCTTCATTTTTCTGCCTTCATTTTTCTGAAGACCCTTTATAGGAAGATTAATTTGCAAGTAAAATGTGAATAATGAAACTTTCTGCACTCCTCAATTTAGTTACAAAAATAATGTAAAATAATGTTATAAAGTTACAATAACACATAATAATGGTAACAACATTTTCATACATTTCTAACCTAAAAAAAAATATTGGACGTGGTGAAAATGACCACATACTCACTGAGCTCCAAGATTTTTAATAAAATATGAATTTAAGTTAAATCTTTTGAAATTGTTAAAAAATGATAAGCCAGGAGTAACAATGGTATTAATGTAAGCAGCAAAACCATAAGAGTTTCATACCATAAAGGGAAAAATAGTTCAATGTAGTAGAATAAAATAAAATATAACAACTTTTTTATCAAAATGAACTTCTGACATTTGAATCGGTGGTTATGTATTTAAAGGCTGGTAAGATTAGAGATTTGGTCTTAGTGG